CTTTGATGTGTACCAAATTATATACTCTTCATAGATCTATTTTGATATAGACCTTAGCTTGATTAAATTGGTAAAGAAATCTTAATATCAAGGATAAATGGTATCAATTCTTCATGGTAAACTTATTAAGCCCTTGATATTCTACATATATTTACAAGGATCTATCTTTTTTATTCATAAATAAAATTAGGGCTCTTGTTGAAGATTTTGAATGGTGTATGAAATTATTGGCTAGATTTTCTTCAAGATATTCTTTGAATTCAATCCACTCATTTTGTATTAAATTGTAGATTGGTCCAAATAATGATTGAGCTCTCTCCAAAAGATTAATTAAACAATCATATGGATGATTTTCTAAAAAATATCTACATTCTTCTTTTTAAAAATATCTTGATAATCTTGATATTGACTTAAAATTTCATTTGAAGTCTTTCTACCATTAGAAACAAGAGTGGCATAAATAATATAACATGATCTTTTTTTTGTAGTATCTAAGAAAGTTCTTACTTTTTAAATATGATTTGGTTATACTAGATTTATGACTTTCTACTTGATTAAAAATAGTCTTTGTTATACTATTAAAAAAGTCAAGACTACAAAAATTCCAATCTATTTAGAAGTTATATTTTTTTAATCATGATTAATCTAAAATAACTAGATCAAAGGAATATCTAATAATATTAATTATTACAAAGCTATTGTGACTATTAATTTTTATTTTTATTAGAAGGATTTTTTGAATAATATCTCTAATGAGAAATAAATAATCATCTATTACTTCTACATAAATAAGTTTAGTTTTGTTCACTGAATGTATGCTATGTCTTTTAACAAATTTTTTTATCTAAGAAAGAAATTGAAGCTCTTGAATCTTACAAGAGAAAAACCTTATAATGTTTAAGTTTTAAACTAACTTCTATTATATATTAATAAGAAGGTTCTAAAAAAATATATGATCTTTATTACCTATTATATAAGGTTCCAACCACACGGTCCCTATTATAGCTAGATAAACTTATTTTTTGACATACTGTCTTTTTTGATAGCCATATTCTTCATTTTGTGATTACTTTATTTTTTTTAGATAATATTAAGTAGTAAGCTTAGGTTCTTGACAATACAAGTATAATCATTTTTGTTAATGATAAGTCTTTTCTTGCTTAGTAAGATATTTAAAATGTATTACATCAATTTGTATATTTTCTATTTTCAAAAGTATGTGTTAAAAAGACATTAGTATTGCCATTGAATTATAAAAATATTGAGATCAATTTTTGTGACTCCTATATCCAAATTCAAAAAATTAGATATTACATTTTATAGAACAATCAGTTATTTGACTCAATGTTTGAAAATTAATTAAATTTAGCATTAGTTTCTTTACCTTACATACGTATGATATATGGCCAATACATATGATATATGGCTAACTTGTTGGCTAAGTATTCAATCCACTAATCTGTCATGGACATGCATACTTACTTCAATAAGAAGTTTTAAATAAAAGATAAATGTATGTAGATTTCATATTATCTTATAGCAAAGCTTTTTAAAAGCTTCATAGATGCATATTTGACTTTATACATGTTTGTAGTTGATTGATAGGTTAGAAACTTAATCAACAAGTTAGACATGTATTGCATGTGCTAATAGCTTATAGAATAAACTAACTACATGATGTATATATAAGAAACTTGTCTTCTAAGTTAGACATGTATCAAGGGTCTTATAGAATGTGGCTACATAGTTTTTAGTTAGATAGTATGTATGGAAGCAAGAATGAAGTCTTCTTCACTATTTTCAATACTTTTTTAGTCTTTAGTCTTATTTTAAGACTTTCGAGTCTTCTTATCTTTGGCAATAGCTATTTTAATTTAATATCATATCTTTGAATGATTATCTAGTCTTTTTGAATAACATAAGAGTATATTGATCTTTTAATTCTTTGAAATTCATGTCCCTATCACAATCACCTTTAGACATGTACAAATATGAAACTACATCTATAAAGTTTCTAAGAAGCTTCTCTACAAGATAGTATCAAATTAATCTATTTTTATCTACTTCTATCTATTCAAATTATCTAAATGATTATTAGAGTAAACATATATGTCCGTGGCAATAGCTCCTTTTCTCATTGTTCTTTTACATTGAAGATTTTCAAAAATGTTGCAAAATAAATTTATTATTAATTTACACAAATTTATATCAATTTTTGATTTTCTATGATTTTAAAAAAAATAATTATAATATAAATCTTATTATATTTCAAAAATTTCCAAATCACCTTAAATAATCTTAATTTTGTAAAGTTCTTATAAATTTAATATCCACACAAATTACTTAAAGCCAATGTTCAAAGAAACTTTATGAAAGTTTCTTCTTAATCTTCCTCTTCAATCAACCAAAGAACTTTGCAATTCTTATAGGTATCTAGTTTTGGATCTTAAGGTTTAGTTTTGGCCTTGATTTACAACTAATCCTCTTTATATATCAATGTCTAGCTTTTTAAAAACGATTTACTGAGAACTATTTTTTATTTTTATCTAAAAATTCTTATAATATTATTTTTTTCTACTCCATTTTATTTTATCTTTTTTATGCTCTTATAATAAGTAAGAATATTTTTTTACAAAAAAAACAACATTAATACCAAATATTTTAACAACTTGTCTATCTTTTAGCTTTATTTTTTTAAAGTAATTTTCTACTTTATTTGTCAATTAAAATTGTTTTAAAAAATCCATATTTTTATCTTTTATGTAGTAATTGTATTACAATACAACATGATTTTTTAACCAGCCAATTCAAATATTCTTTGTATTTTTTATTGTTAAAGAATTTTTTAAAAAAAAACTTTTTGATAAGTTTGTCTTTAAAGGTTATAGATGATGATAAATCGAATAAATTATATCATTAATATTTTTTTAAAGTCCAATTTTTTTTACAATCCTAGCAAATTTTATTTCAATCTAAATATTCAAAGCACAATTGTATATGTCTATTATTAATGAGATAGTTTAAGATGTATAATAATATAAGTTAATTATGAATAATATATATATATATCAATTTGATTTGATTTGATTTATTTCAATGATATTTCAAGTGAAGTAAATAGAGTATTTATAATTTCTTCAAGAATCAATAATAAAATGCTAATAGAAATCTTTGAAACAACTTTTTAGTATATAAACCTAGATCAATTTTTATTGATTGTTTCAAAAGAAGAATTGTTGACAAATATAACATTATTAAATAATACATTTATAGAATCTAATAAATACATAATTATTTTATATATAGATAATTTATAAATAATTTTTATATTTAAAAGAATTAATTTATCTATTTATTTTGTATGCAAATTGTCATATACGAATTTTTTCTCTTCCAATGATATTATTTATAAAAATAAAATATTATAAACTAATAGAAATCTAATCCATTTAAATCAAATATTAAAAAATAATACTATTTAGATTAGAGTTAGAATGATAATATATAACATAGATTATGTGGCTAAAGTAATTTACATACACATTTAAATATTATAAATGAAGAGAAATTCTTTTAAAATTAGACTCTATGGCTTGTAGAGCCAAATTAGTTGGATTAGTGTCAAATTTCAAATATGGAGACCAAACAATGAAGGTGCATGAAGTTGTGGTGATAGTTGTATCTTCTTGAATGTAGGATCTCTTTAAAAAAAATTAACATAGTTGTATCTTTTTGAATTTAGAAGCAACAAACTTTAGTGGACTGCAATGAAAGTGAGTTACAATAACATGACCATTCTTTTTATGTGTGGAATAGCTTCAATCTCATTGGATCTAGTTTCTATGATATGTTTATGCATTGTGAAAGGGCATATGTTTTTAGTGATTTTGACATAATTTTTAGTTATTCTATTGGACAAGAATTTTATTATATTGTAGATAATTAGAATTGAATGACTTGATTAGTGAAACCTCCTTATTAGTTAAGATGAAAATATTATTTTATTAGCCAAAAACATATGTTGCCCTTTTACAATGTAAAAATTTATGTTTCATTTTCACACGTGTCCTTTTTCATTGCATGCTACCTTATTTTGTGTTAAATTGATTTTCACAATATTACCCCTTTCACAATGTAAAAATGTATGCAGTCCTTTCACATATATTACCTTATTTTGTGTTAAAATATTTTTCATGCCCAATAACATAGGTTTTTTCTAGAATATATATATTACAACTGATTGGAGTGACTCAAAGATAAAATAAAATGAAATAACACTATGCTCAATATAACTATTTACATAAGGATTTATCCCCTATTAACAATAAATATTACTATATCAAATGCAGGAGTTGGATATGTAGTTCTATGGTATCAGAAGTATTAATATAATTTATTCATTTATATTTTAAAATAGATTGAATCACTTAAAAATTCAGTCTTTGATACATTATGATTATTGAGATGCCCTCATATCCACAGTTTGTTAATTTTCAATGTTTTGAGAAAATTAGGGCTCTCGCATCAATCCAGGATCTGTGAAGGCCAAGCCAGGTCATACCGACTTTCTTGCACAAATTGATTTTAGTTGACGCCACAGGCTAAAACAACTCGGAAATAATTTAAGGTAATGGGTCCTACCGTCAAAGGTCATTGTGGTGGTTCACTCCTTAATTCAAGGGACTCTGTCAGTGCCATGCAGGATGCAGAAAACGTGCAAATGATGCAACAACATGCATGAATAAATTTCACTCATGGCCACTTTCTCTCCAACAAACAATATTCTCTTACCCATTTCCCTGCCCCGATGCCGACTAACATCAGGCAGCTTGGGGTGTACCATCAAAATACATACCATCCACATTTGATAAACCGGATGATATTTACTCAGCTGTGCAGGCATTGACAAACCAACAATCACGTCTTGCTGTGATGCAATGTCAAACGTCACGTACGATTAACCAAGTACCAAAAAGTAGAATGCATTAAAGTCAAGGTTCTGAGGGCCAATAAAAAAAACACAATGCAATTTAATTATGAAACAGAGGCATCCCAATATCTGCCAAAACGAGTGATCAAACTAGTATATGTGCATGTCAGAAAATAAAGCAGAAGGAGCTTGAGCACCATCTCTGTCTATTGGCACACAACACACTACCATCATCAAGTTGAATGTGCATGGCTAGGTCCAAAAATGAAATTGCCGTGCACATACTGACATTTTCGTCAAGCTTGTATTTACACTCCTCATAGGACCCCTCAAGGCCACCCCTAATCTGCCTAAGACAACAGTAACCCCAGCAGCCGCACTGTCGTCACCACGATCTGGCTTAGAAATCGATGTGAATCAATTCAGTCTACATCCTCTAAAAATACCGAGCGCACTGAAATGACTGCACAATCAGATGGCTTGTTCACAGGGACTTCATGATCCCGGCTCCCTAATAGTTCGAATTGTTCCATGACTGTTGCGCACGTTGAGGTTGCTGCTGGTAGGCTCCTGCTTGGCTGTTGCCCCCTGCGCCTCCCATTCCTTGGGGCTGTTGAAGCATCTGATGGCTTGGGGCCGGCCCTGTCTGTGACGGATGATACAAGTTGGTATATGCCGCGTTTGGATGCGCATGCCCGTGCGTCGGTTGCTGAGAATGCGCGTATCCACTGTGCTGGCCTTGCCCGGCCAAACTGTAGTACAAGCTCGTCTGCATGGCCGCTGACGGTCCAATATCGCGGGGCATCGCGGCCTGAATCCATACTGTCGAGCTATCTCCCTGCTGCCAAAAAACGTCCACACTGTTAATACACCCAACTAACGCCAACCAAAACCATCGAACCCTCTCTACAAATGCACGCGGCACAAAATGCTTGGGACTATCAACTGACTAACACCATTCCATCACGTCCACCCTCAGTACGCATTCTCACAACTCTGAAGATATATCGCCATACCTGTTGGCTCGGAATGTAGAGAGTGCTATCCTTATAACGCGATGTGTTCATGTCCTCGTATCCAGAAGCATTTCCGACTGTCACCGCAGGACTTGACGCATATCCTGAAGGCGTTGTCGTGTACCCGCCGTATCCTACGGCTGGTGCAGGATGGGGAGCGTTTCCGGCAGCTGCCCCGGGCTTGTACTGGGGCATCGGAAACTTCACAGCAGTCGCTCCGCCAGCTGGATAAGACGATGCCGCAGATGGAGGAGTGTACGTCGAGCCAGCCGGAGGCTGAGCATAAGCTGTGCTGCTCGAGTTGTAAACGTGGTGCGGATATGGGGGCTGCAAATACGGGTAACTTGCGGGCATATATTGATAACTCACGTAGTTCCCAAAGGGTCCCGAAGGTGGCTGTGAATAATGCATCGGCAAAGCTTGCTGCGGCACCACTTGTGCAGGCTGCACGTTACTTCCCGGTTGAGAAGTCTGCGAAGAACTCACGCTCGGTGTGGCAGAAGCTAGCATCGGATTTCCTCCCTGCACAAATCCCCTCGTCATCAAATCATGAATGTCTCCCAAAACAAAAATTATCAACAGTAAAGAAATCGATAGTAAAAATACAACCTCACACTTCTCGATCCAATCTAGCAAACACGAGTTCTCACCTCCTGGGATGCTTGAAGAGATGGAGCCGCCATCAAACCAATATTCCCAGAATACTTGCTCGCTGTGTTCGTTGGAACATAGGGAGGATAAAGCCGATCGGATTCTGCCCCACGGAACGCTGAAGTATAGTAGCTCGTCGTCGGGTCGTACGCCGGCTGAGAAGAATCACAGATGCGGACAACGCAAGCTAATCAGGCTACTCACCATGTATATCAACAGATAAAAAAAAAAAAAAAAAAAAAAAAAATACACTCAAAATACGCTGGGAAGCATTCTCGGCGTATCAACGATCCAAGCAGACAACACGAGTCACAAACAACAAGCACACACAACTGCATCCACACTCAACCTCCATAATCGAGAGAGAGAACGGAGAGAGAAACGCTAGAAACTAAACATGACGCGTAGAGCCCAAGTGCTTTACACGTACCACCATGCTTGGAATCCGAGGTGCATCCTGAGGTGCCGACTCCGTTTGCTCGTAACCATACTGACCGCCAGGCATTTGTGGCATCAACCCAAACCCAGGATAGTTTGACGCCCCAAAAAAATACGGCGCCGACTGCACCACTGGATCAGGTTTCGTGTGCTGCTCCTGGGCTGGAACGGCCGGGTCTTGCTGAACTACAGGTGGTGCCTCCACGCTCGCGTCAATGCTCTCCACCGGAGTAGCTACCTGCTGCAGCCCATATGACTGGGCCATCTCCACTTGGGTATCCACACTGAAACCCACCCATATTCAAACTTTACCTCGAATGCACATCATACAAGCCTTCTCATCTTAGCACCACTCGTTGCCTCCTACCAAGCACTCCGTCCTATCCTACAACCAGTGCTCAACGAACAACGCACTCAACCCTGGGACAAACCCCATTTCTAAGAAAATTTCACGAGCTCACCTTGAAGGAGCCGGCAACTCGACCGGAGCCTCTTCCACAGCAATAGTCTCCACGTTCTTCTTGTTCTCTTCAACTTCTGCATGACCAAAGCTCGTCCCGAAAGCTGACACAAAATCTGAACCAAAGCTACCGAAGCTCAAATGCGAACGGTCTGCTTCCGGCACTCGAAGGTGCGTCGGAATTATCACCGGCTCGTCTTCTTGTATGCTCATAGACTGATATGCTTGAGCTATGCTCGTCGGGTCCACAGCACCTAGACCTTGAGAACCACCGTCCGCTGACGATCCTAACAAGTTGTGCCCAGGAGCTTTCGCCTTCCACTCCAAGCCGCCGGCACCTGCAGCTGCACGATAGCGAAAAACACCTGTCAGATCATCACATCCATCCAATGAACATTCATGCATCTAGAGCAACACTCCGACTACCCCAACGCCCCGAGTTCCACGCAAATAACGCATATCATACGACGCATCCTACCTTTCTGAGTGCCCACGGGCTGCTGTGGGGACCCATACAAAGGTCGCCCGTTAAATTGGCTACCACCCAGTACGCTCATTGACCCGTGTCCTTGCGAGTTGCCTGCCTCCATGCTCACGGCAGCTTCATCCACACTTACATCTCGACTAGACGGTGCAGACGCCGTCGCAGCAGGAGGAGAAGGCGGTCTTGCTGTCTCTAATTCCCTCTCCATGTCTGTCTCCAGATCGCCAGAGCCTTCGGATTCTGGGACAGAGCTCGCTTGAGCCGATGGGGACGCCGCACTTGAATCGATTGCCGCCTCTGCATTTGATGAACTTACAGGCCGATCTCCAATAGGACGCTGGTTGCCCACCGCACCGATGGCACTTTGACCGCCCACAACTCGCAAATCTACCGATGTATGAAGCACCGGGTCCGCACTCGACGAATAAAATCCCGAGGACTCCGGAGAAGGCTCAGAAGCTGCTACTGGGGCTACGGCAGCCGGATATGATGGAGACAACGCCGTTTGAACGACCGGCACGGCTGGGGAAGTTGCCGGAGATTGGAAGCTCGAGGGAGGTGGAGGAGGAGCTGCCCGCGCTTTCAATAGATCTGCCATTGTGCCATGCCCTGAGGCCCATGCCCCTTGTGGGGGTCGTGCGGGTCTCACAAACCCGCTGCTTCCATTAACTGCTCCTCCGGAGCTACTGCTAGCTGGACTTGGAGCTTGAACTGGTGCTGCTGCTGCTGCTGCTGCTGCTGTTTGAGCGCCTGTTGATGGTGGTACAGAGCTGCAATTCACAATCAACATCAAACAATCAGGAATTCATTATCTGAAACTAGTAACTCCATATCCAACATACCAAGAAACCACCACTTTTCAACTCCATAATCTGCTGTATCTACGCCCCTCACAGCCAAAACTCAAGCGAACCAAAACAAAACAATCCAGAGGCATCTCAGGTAGAATTTCCACCACATATTACATCAAAATCTCATCACACGACTGAATTCATTAATATGTACACACGGAGCTCTCAGAATCTGCATGCTAAGAGGTCATCACAGTTTTCATGATTCAATTTGATTTTATCGTATCTCGTACGTACCTCGGGGCCGACGGCTTTGCTTGACAGGGTGCAGTAGTTGAATTTGAAGCTGCGCTAGAACCACGCAAACCAGGATGAATGCCATTCTCTCTTCCGTGCGCTCGACCTCGCCCACCACCATACTCTGAACAACCAAACTCGCCACATAAATCATTACACCCTTCCAAGAACCCACCTTGCCACGCCCACAGCCGTTCTTCTTATGATGCTTGAGTATTACACCACTTCCTCTAATTGCATACAGCAAGTAGCTGCCTCGCTCAGTTGCCAAACACTACTTTCATGTCAACATTAAGGGCTTGTACGCGACCGAAGGTGCTTGGGTTATATCGACGGGAGAACCTTAAGCTTTATCATTCCACTCATCATTACCGTAAAACTCACATCAATCTCAGCTGAAGCGCTTGAGGAAGTAGATCGACATCACAAACTTCGCAAATCATCTGATATGCTGCTACTCTTCCTCACTATATATCATGCTCATTTACAATACATTCAGCACAAGCCTTGACTTGAACACTAGGCATGTCCATTGGCACTCACCCTGTGAACCCTGAGAACCGTAACGAGGCAGAGAACCCCCGGTTCCACCACCGCCACGTCCACCTCCTCTGATATAACCACCGCTACCAGGCCGTCCCCTCATATCCGAATCTCTCGCTTTCATTCCTCCAGTCTGCCGTATCATGGTGCTCACGGATGTTAAATACAATACAGCGCGGTCAGTTCTCCCTCAACTCTTTCGCAGCTTGTCTATCTACGACTCGGTAAGGAAATCAAGTTCCACATTTTCTTACCTCTTTCTTCTTGTCCCGCTTCCTCTTCACTTCGTGAAACGGATCTGCATCGTCAAACCCACCATTAGCACCTCAAATCAATCCCGCTAGCCCCACCTGCCCAAACCTACCACATTGGCGAAATCCATGACCCACGAACGCAGTGACGTCAGAATCGCAGTTAAATACACATGTAGCACAGCAGCAGTGCAAAGGGAAAGGTACGGCTCCTATACCTCCTGCAAAATACACCCAACCATATAAAAACACATTAATAACTCGACCCACACAAAAATTACACTCATCAAGATATTAGCTGCACAACTCTAAGACGCAACTACTGCGATGCCAACAAATCTTCGAATCCAATCTATATAAAATGTAGAGCGATTATAGAAAGACACGGTCATTCTAGCACAGTATGAAACTAAAAGCCATTCTGACCATACCAAAAGTCACTTTCTACACTTTGTTAATGCTTCAGCCGATACGGATAAGACAACGGGACAGAATTCTCTTACACATTTCGGACCTCAAGAGAAGTGTAGGTTGAATACTTCTACACCATGCGAACATATTGCGAAATGACGACGTGGTTTGACCCACCATACATAAAATCGAACTCGCTAACATGAACCGAACGCTCGTACCCAACACAACCCGGACTAGAGCAGCACGTCATTGCATCAATCATGACCAAAGAGCCCGCTTCATCCCGCAGTGCAATTTCATCATTTGGAACAGCAGGAGGTCTATAGCACAGGCTTCACCATTTCGGTGGCAAACATGGCGTGCCTTGCACGGAGATCTAACCCCATAGAACTAACCACCTAATCACGACACCGTCGCACAAACCTCTGCTCAAAACTCCAGACTCATTGAACATAACTTGCGCAGCACTAGGTCCCATCCACGACACAAGAACGATCGAGCCATAAAAGCCCGAGCACAAACGCACGCGTACCTTGGTTCAGCAGCCGTTGCGCGGCCTCGTTCGGGTCCATGTTGCACTCTTTGAGCATGGCATAAATCTCCTCTTCGCTGTTGCCGACCACCTCCTTGAGGTCCTGCACCACTTTCTTAGTGCTGGCCGGGATGTCGACGGCACCGCCGCCGCCCCTGCCGGTACTCATCTTGGTGGACAGCGCAGCCCCCCTGCAGCTCCACCCCGGGCCGACTCCGCCTGTTGCCTTGCTCCTCCTCCGATGACCGCCCTCCGTCCCAATGCTCCCACACGTTGCCGTATGATTGAAATGATACTAGTTTAGCAAACCTTAGGGTTTCAAGCACAAGCTATGGCTTTGAAAGGGGGACAGGGAGTAGAGACAGGGGCAAGCAGGCAACACCGTAGTAGGACCGAGCTAAGATGGAGCACAGCGAACAACAACACGTGAATGCTGGTGACGATGGGAAAGAGTCGGAGATGGCTGGAAAGGCGGGAGACTTGGGCCCCAAACCCTAATTCCATCGTCCCGTTCACACTCCGTTTGAATCTCTGCGGAAATTTTAAGTTAACCAGGCCCTGCGTCAGTTTGATCTGTTTTGAATTTTCAATTTCGTCAGGATGATCATCCTGCCCTTTTGTGGATAGCTCCTCGTTTTCCGTCGACGACTCTGTCCGTCATGGTGCTCTTTTGGATGATATTCGTCGTCCAGGGTCCCCCCCTTTCTGGGAACTTGGATTGAGTGCATTCCCTTTGGTTCCCAACGTTGTGCTGCACCTTTGTTAATACAAAGTCGGCCTCGGAATTCCACCACCCATTTACTTGCTTAATACTCCTACTCCCCCTTCACCTCCCTACTACCACATTTCTCAATTATTATTGTAAACCTTAACTTCTGTGTTTTTCTGGATTTTTTTCTTCTTTTTTGATGTTTGATTGTGGGTAGTGGGTTGTGTCGATGTGTATTCATTTGAACACTTTTGGGAACCATCTAAATTTGCATCTCTACTTCCAAAGCATTTTTCTTTTTTTAGAATGCAAATATGATTTTTTGCAGTCAATGACAGATACGAATACCTGAATTCTAAAGTAGCACAATAAAATTTCTGATATATACATACATACATCCATACATATACCAAAACATGGTGGGTCATTCACATTTGACAAATGAAATACTATGCTGAAAATCAATATATGACTGAATGTTTATATATATATATATATATATATATGAGAATACTCTCACGTTTATTTACTAAAATTGAGCATCTTTTTACAAGTTTAATGTCACATAGGAACTAGTATGTTCTTTTACAAAAATGCATTTTAATATCTAATACTTAGCTAAATTGTTGTATGACAAGCATTAATATTTACTATAAATTGAAATTGATATGCAAAGAAATTCATATTTAAATTATATATTAAAAAATTCAATATATATATATATATATATATATACAGAGAGAGAGAGAGAGAGAGAGAGAGAGAGAGAAGAAATCATTAAGTGTTGTACCTAAAGCAAGACCTTGAAACTCTGAACCAAGTTAAACACATCTGTTTTTTCCTATCTGGCTTCAAGTAATTTTGCCAAAGATTATGGTAATGAAAAATCACATAATAATAAATGAATAAATAAATGATTGTTAAATTTTTAGCTCTTTTGATTTAAATTTTTATCATGTTTCATGTAAGAAAATTTAATTAAATCATTGTTTTATTAATTAACTGGCAATGAAACAAATGTTAAACCTTTGACTTGATCTACTGAATATATGGAGGAGGCTAACCTCTACTCTAGTACAATTTCACAAATCTGGACTACATAGACTCAATTGTAAAGTAAGACATGTTATTATTTTTTTAAATACATATTTGAGAAATTAATATTAATTGGTTTACGATGATTATTTTTTAGAGACAATTACTACATGCCATGCCAAATACATCATATGTATTTTAAATTTAGTTTTCTGTGTTATATTACTTAAAAAAATATGTAAATTTATTATCTTTTATTGTAAGAAAATTGAAGTCAAATAAAATATAAACTTTCACTATTTTAAGAATTTGTTTGCCAAAAACCTAAACAAAGTGAACAGCATCATTTTGCAGATGTGGCCATTTTTTACAGTACATCTTATCATGCCGCAATTAAAAATAATAATTTTTAGCACTTCTGTGTTAATAACAATTTGACATTCTATTCTTACTATGTTCAATATCTTCTAATCAACAATTGGAGTAATAATAAAATTCCAAAGCAATAATCAAGGTAAAATTTAGGTTAAGAATGACACTATTATTTTTTAAAATATTGATGTCTTGTACATAACAATTGTAGGTGATTTGTTGGTGAATAAATGCAATAATCTATTTAATTCATACATAGATATGTATCAATATATATATATATATATATATATATAGATCAAAATTTAATATTTATTTCTAAACATAAGAAGTATTATGTATAAAACACATCTAATCTAAAGGACTTTGTACAACTATTTTTTAATATATTTTTATGTATTAGAATATTTTGTTTTATAAAAAATTCTTTTATAATAATTTCAACTATATCAAATTCAAAATAAAAAAATAGTCATGCCTAAGTTATATCCAGCTCTATTGAAAGCATTTCTAAACCTTTAAAGTACATATAAGAGCTTGCAAGCAAAAAATTTTTCACTCATATTTTTCTTATTCAATTAAAATTTTGTCTAAAAAATTATATAAGTAAATAAATATATATATATATATGTATACCTATATATATGCATGAAATTATTATTGAATTATATTACAAAATATCACTAACAAGAAATTATAAACTTAATCGACCCTTAATTTTTTTTGAATATTTATAATTATTAGCAATCCAAAGTTTTATTATTTTTATTATTATATTAATATTTTTTTACCATAAAATATATAAAAAGTCAAATTCCTATATGTTATTATATTATATATATATAATCATAGATAACAAAGAAGAAGAAAAAACAATGTCTACATTACTTCTTCTTTTTTGTTAAATTAGGTTCTACATACTTTGTGACCTATAAACAAGAAAAAATAATTTAGAGTAGCAAAAACATTATAATAAAAATTCATAAATTAAAGTAAAGAATAGTTTTCAATAAAAAATACTTAAAAAAACTTAGATTGTTATATTAATAAGACTAATTATAAACCATGGTCAAAATTAGAAACCAAGCCACAAATCCATAAATATCTATGATAAATATTTAATTATTTGTTCAATTAGAGAGTGGAATTAAAAAAAAAAAAAAAAAAACTTAATAAGAATTTTATAAATGATGATTTTAAGATGTTTAGGTTGTCATGACTATATAAGAACTTGTCATAAATATATGTATTTATTCCAATAATTACTTATATGATTAGGTAGATGTAGATAAATATTTATTAATTTCATAATGTCTTCTTGAATAGCTTCTTAGAATCTTCATAGACGTAGTTTTGACTTTATATACGTTTGTAATTGATTGGTAGGTTAGAAACTTTGTCAACAAATTAATCATGTGCCACATGTGTTGTTAGCTTGTAGAACAAGCTTACAATGTAGTAAATACATAAATAACTTGCCTTATAAGTTAAGACATGTGGCTAACAAAGTCAACACATGTAAGAGGTCTTATAGAATATTACTATGTAGCTCCTAATTAGAATATATATATGAAAGCAAGAGTGAAGCCTTCTTCATTCTTCTCAATGCATTTCTACTCTTTAGTCTTATTTTAAGACTTTCTAGTTTTCTTGTCTTTAGCAATAGTCATTTTAGTTTAATACTATATCATCTTTAAATAGCTTTCTAGTTCTTTTGAGTGACACAAGAATGTATTAAAGATTTCTTTTTTTAAGCTTTATATTCTTAATAATTTAACAAGAGTGTTAACTTATTATTTTTGTCTTGTTTTAGAAGTGAGTGGATTATTATACTTCCATTGTTGCATTTTGAAGGTTGCCAACTATATATTCTTAAATAAAAAATCTTATTATTTAACATTGATTTTTTTCCTTAAATAGAGTGGATTATTCTTCTTTATGAAAATTTTCATTTGATATTAGAGGTTGTAGTTTATTCTTCTCTAATTAAACTTTTTGAATTTTTTTTGAATTGTCTATGGAAGGAAAGATTATAGATGCTACTCTTAGTGGAAGTGAAAATAGATTTGCAACTATTATAGATCTTTATGAGCTTATCAATATTCTTAAAATAGAAATCTCATATATTTCTAATATGAATTATGGAGATACTATTCCTGCATCTATGGAAGAAGTTCAAAGTCTATGTCAAGAAGTTATGCAGTTGAAGGAAGCAAGAAGATTGGACTCACAACAAAATTCAAAAAATTTTGCTTCTATGAATATAGTGGGAACAAGGATTAATATGCCTAAGAAGTTTGATGGAACAAGATCAAAATTTTGAAGATTTTTGCAATAAATCAAGTTCTAATTAAGGTTGCAACTCTTCCAATACTCTAATGGATTTATTCAAGTTGGGTTCATAAACACACTTCTATCTAGAAGTACTCTTTGTTGTTTATACCTTTGAAAAAGAAAAAGATTTACAATTCTATTATAATTTGAATTCATTCTTATAAGTATTTGCGACGATATTTGAAAAAAATAATTGAGAAAGAGTAGTAGAGAGTAAGTCCATATTTTTACAATAAAGATCACGATCAACCACTATATATGCTGCTAAATCCTAAAACCTTGCTTGCAATGTGGACTAGAATGACAAAGTCTCTATCAATAAATTTTGATATGGATTGAAAGACAATGTCAAAGATTTATTATTCACAATGCTAAAAGCATAATCTTTGAAATAATTTATTACTCAAGTCATTACATATGACAATTGATTATTTAAAAAGTGTCAAGATTAAGATTTTTCTCAAAAAGAACAAATCAAATAATGATGGCAGTTCTTAAGTTTTCAAAAACTTATTCATCAAAGCCAAAATCAATACAAATTGATACAGTGTATTTTAAACATCTTACTAAGCAACAAAAGACTTATTGCCATCAAGAAGATTTGTACCTATATTGTAGAGAATTCAAGGATACTGTTCAACATTATACAAAGAAGTAATGCAATCACAAAATCAAGAGCATGGTTGCTAAAGAAGATAACATGTTAGAAAACGAGTTTCTTTAGTTGTAATAGGGACTATTTAACTAGAATCTTACACAACTACTAATAAAGATTATATTCTTTCTTTAAATCCCTCACCTTTATTTTATAATAGAAGTTTGTTTAAGATCAAAAAATTAAAAAGTCTTAGCTTTATTAGAATCATGAGCCTCAATTTATTTTATAGACAAAGATTTTGTCAAAAAATAAACTATATCTTTAATTAAGAAAATCAAGCCTATGCAAATAGAAGTCATAGATGGTTGTATTTTTATTGACTAGAGATATTACTTATAAGACTATTCTTTTAGATGTAAAAATTAAAGATCATAATAGCATAATAATATTTAATATAATAAGTTCA